CAAGGTGGGAGTAATAAATAGCACTTGGCCTAGAATAATAAAACTTCAGGGGAATTTTTAAAATGTCTACTATTTAAAGGGTAATCAGACAGACTGGAGGGATTAGAGGTTAGGTTCAGATTATATTATTAAATGGCAGAATTAGGAAGTCATAGAGAAGCAAATTTTGGCTCCATACAGAATGACTTCTTGGGGCCAGACAGTACAGTGATTTTTAAAAAAAAGTGAAGCTCTGGGTGCCGCCCAGCAGGTGGTATGATAGTTAAGGCACTGAACACTGAATTCCCACATGACTAACTGTGAATCGAGCCCTAGACTTGGTGGCTTGCTTTTTTATTTTCCCTTTGTCTCCGGTCAAATTAAAAATAATAATAGGGACCAGTAGATCGCATAATGGTTAAGTCACTGGACTCCCACGCAGTCAACTGTGGTTCGAGTCCCCACCCTGGTGGCTTAAAACTCACAGCAGACCCAAAATCCTGATGAGAATAGAAGAGAAAGTATTGTGGTGTGGCCATATTCCCTGGGAGGTGATTTCTCGCTTTCTGTCTCTGTCTCTCTGGCAAGCGTATGTACCCTATAACAAAAGTCTCTCAAAAATAAAATATTATTTATTTTAAAAATTATTTAATTTTATTTATTCATCCATTTATTTTACTTTGACCAGAGACAGAGAGAGGAAAAGTGAAAAAGCAAGCCACCAGGTCTGGATTTGAACTGTGGTGGGCCAAGTGGGAGTGTCTACTGCCTTAAACACCACACCACTTGCTGGTCCCATAAATAGTTACTTAAAAAAATAAAATAAAAAAGATGCTCTGTAAGGGAATACCACATGGAAACTTTACAGTTCAAGTCCGGAGCCCTCTCTGAGTACAATGGACATATGACTGTAAGATTCATGGCTGACTGAGGGCTACAAGTGGACTGTGGCACTGAAGACCATTTGGGGGTGTACAAATACATGTTAGTGCACATAAATGCTCACTCTCACTGAAGAAATAAATTTTTAAGAAAAAGACTTTTTTGGGGCCAGATGGCATGGAGGTAGTTGAGGGGCTGGATCTCACATGGTTGGCTGCGTCATCTGAGTCCCTGACCTGGCAGCTTGAAAAAAACACAGAGTACAGGTGCATGCCCCAAATCTCAGAAGGAGAATGGAAGGGAAAGAACTGTGCTGTGGTCATCCCCTTGTGGGGTGCTTTATCATTTTCCTTCTGTCTCTCCAGCAAGTACACATGCCCCATAAAAAACTAAAAAATAAAAAGTATTCAAACAAAAAATTCAAGCTTAGGCAATCAAACTATCCAGTATTTGAGAGAAGGTACAAAGCACTGGAAAACGTTAAAAATAACTAATAGGGCCGGCAGGAGACGTGGCGGTTAAAAGGCCCTGGACTCCCACATGGCTGACCATGGTTAGAGTCCTGGCCCTGTCGGCTCCCTTTCTCATTCCCTCCCCCCCTTCTGTCCCTATCTGGTCAAATTAAAATAAACAAATAAAAGTTAAATAAAATAATCCTTAAAAAAAAAAAGAATAAGCAAAAGTAATCTCAATAGATGGCCAGGATGGTTTTTATGCTTTCGTGTTTGTCATTTTATTTTTATAATAACTCCTTTAAAAAAAGTACTATATTTTTAAAATGAGGAAACTGAGAATAAGAGTTTAGCTTAATTTTAATCACAGTCCACAGGGTATTAAGTGGCAAAGCTAATTTTCAAATCCAAATCCATAATGTCTGACTCGATATGAACTCTTTCCATTTTATCAGTGGATCTCAACATTCAATCACTTTAGAAATTCCAATAGTAAGATCACAATTCATAACAATTAAATAAGAATCAACAGAGGAAAGACTGAAGCATCTTTGTTATACTCCCAAATACTTCCAGTCTGTAGCCACTGTTAAGACCCACCGCTATGTAAAGTTTTATTGGAACATACCCACATTTATTTGTTTACACACCGCCTGTTACTGCTTTCATGCTACAAATGGCAGAATTAAGTAGTTGACCTTTCTTATAGCCAACCAAGATGAAAATATTTGTTTATTAGATCTTTATGGTAAAAATTTGCTATCCCTGGCTCTGTATCATATTACACCCTAAATATAATGTTTCCATTATATCCATTTTCTGGCACAGAATGAGGGTGGATTTAGAGGCAATAAAAAATTGTAAAACAGAATGTAGCACATGGCTGATACAACCAAATTAGTGAGTTAAAGCAAGGCTGAGATACTAAAGTGATATAAGCAACATAAAAATGAAATTATCTGATATGACAGATAACTAAAAGCATGTTAGGTCCAACAACCCACTTGACAGACCCAGTCTATTAATACAATTACAGAGAGGAGGCACTTGCTAACACACTTGCGAGAAATGTTACCTTTGGAAGTATGCACTATGATTCAGTATGAATGCTTTTCTTCAAATCATGTGGAATTCATTTAAGAATAGGTTAGTTCTGATTACTTTTGCCAATCAACAGATCTGCTTATCCTTTTCAATGAAAAATGTGTATTTAAATATATTACAATTTATGTATATATATAAATTGTATGTATACTTAAGTATATTACAATTTAAATTTATTTATGTATATTGTTAAAATAATAATAATCCATTCAGCAGAGAAACAATGTAGCTCTAATTTTCTGAGAATTCTGTCAAGGTCTTTCTACATTAATATTTAAACAGTGGGGCCAGACGGTGGTGTGGTGGATAAGGGCGCTGGATTCCCACATGGCCAACCACTGTTCAAGTACTGGACCTGGCGGCTTGCTTTCTCACTTTCTCTCACCCTTTCTCTCTCATCAAATAAAGAAAAAAAAATGGGAATAAATAAATAATTCTTTAAAAAAATAGAAAATAAAAGGTGTGGGAGGGGTAGGTGGTATGTTATTTAAAAAAATTAATATTTAAACAGTAAAAAAAGTGCTAGCTAAGAGGACTTTTGTGTCCTTATTACTTTAAAGAAAACTGCCTTAGGGTTTTTATTGCTAAGAAACAAATTAAAGTACCAAAAACAAAACAAAACCAGTATCAGTAATTAGTATACTATACATACATGCTGATTTTTTTTTTTTTTTGAGAGATTTTCACTGTAGGGCGCGTGCGCTCGCCAGACAGACAGAGAGAGACATAGAGACAGAAAGCGAGAAATCACCCCCCAGGGGGGATGGTCACGCCGCAATCCCTTCTCCTCCATTCTCCTCTCGGGATCTTGGGCACGCACGCACACGCGCCCGGCGTGAGTTTTAAGCCACCGGGTCCGGGACACGAACCGCGGTCGACTACGTGGGAATCCAGCGACATAGCCATTACGCTAACTGCTGGTTCCCCATACATGCTGATTTTGACATAGAATTTCAACCAATGAATACTAATCCAAATCTAAAAACCCAGGAGTGCCGGTCAGCCAGGTGGTGGTTAACGTAACAAGAGACCATAAAGGCAACTAAGTCCCAGATCCAGACGCCTGTTTCTCAAGCCGGGCGTGTGCATGTGTGCACCCAAAATCCCAAGAGGAGTGGCTGATAGGTGGTGTGGTGATTATAGTGCTGGACTCCCACAGGCCAACCACGGTTTGAGTGCCAGATTGACTGGCTTGCTTTCTCACTTGCCCTTTCTCTGGTCAAATTAAAAAAATACTATCAATAAAATAAAATTATTAATAATTCTTTTTAAAAAATTCCAAGAAGAAAATAGAGACGGGAAGACTGTGGCACGGCTATCTGCCATGAGTTGTGATTTTTCATTTTCTCTCTGATGAGTACATGCACCCTATAGCAAAAACTAGGGACAAGGGGAAAAAGCAGAACCATTTCACAGGATTACTCTTGAATTTTGCCCTCTGGTAACTAAAAAGAATGATTCTTTTTAGCAGAAAGTACAAGTACTCTGTCCTCAGATGATCACCATCATGGAAATCAGACAGCAAATAGTGCTTTGAAGCTCAACGAGCATTAAAGTTAAGGACTGTGGTGGAGGAGCCTGGGGTATGTGCATAGGAAACCTCAAACTAAGTTGCTTCTTCAACTAACATTAAGCACAGCCAGAATAAACTGAAGGTAAAGCAAAGTTTCAAGCCTTTCGTACACTCTTTAACAATGATCCTCCACCCCACTTTAAAAAAATCCTCACTACTGGGACCAACAGTTAGCGTAATGGCTATGTTGCTGGACTCCCATGTAGTTGACCACGGTTCGAGTCCCGGACCCAGTGGCTTAAACTCACGCCGGGCGCATGTGCATGCATGTCCAAGATCCCGAGAGGAGAATGGAGGAGAAGGGATTGCGGCGTGGCCATCCCCCCTGGAGGGTGATTTCTCACTTTCTGTCTCTCTGTCTCTCACTGTCTGTGTGGCGAGCGCACGTGCCCTATAGCAAAAATCTCTCCAAAAAAAGAAAAAAAAAAATCCTCACCACTAATGTCCTGTGCTAAGATTACTGCACACATTCTTTTGGGAAAATACTTAAAAGAAAGGTCTCAGAAAAATGAGAAGATGGCAGTGGGCAACCTTAAAATATTTTAGCTTGTTAAGATCTGTGATGAAAACAGAACAGTAACTCTAAACAAATCCTATAAATATAAATTCTATAGAACACTTCAATGTTTAAATGTCCCAATAAAATGTTAACCAGATCTCAAAAACAAAACATACAAATGAAAAACCCAGAGAGATTATAAAGTTTTTTTCTTTCCAGCATTGAGTATAAAATAGTGAGCAGTGAGGACAAAGAGCAGGAAAGTGTACATGCAGTGTAGTCCACATTCCTCAACAATACATGCAATGTCTGGTTATTAGTATAACTTTTGAGAAGCCCACATATACATGCCTGGAGAAAAGACAAAGAAAATATATCAAAAATGTTATGTTTGAGTGATCTCACTATTGTAAATATAATGAAAAAAATTTTCATTAAAAAATGTATTTTGAGATTATCTGACCAGAATGAAAATAAAATCTGAGATTATCTTTGTATCTACGATATTTACCTGGCTCCTCCTTGATGAGTAGTGTATTTTCTTCTGGATAGGCAACAGGTGGCTGCATCACTGAGCAATCTTCTAAACTTGTTTCATTATTAGGTGGAATATTATAAATAAATCTCTTTGTAGTTTGGTTTTTCCTCCTTGTTTTGCCAGTCTCTTGAATTCCCTGGGAGGCCATATTATTCCAAATAAATACTTTCGTTTGACCTTGAGATTCATTTTCAGTTGATTCGGGAGAACCATCCTGGACCCAACTACTGTCATTCATTTGGTAGTTTCCTATTTGGCCCTCGTCGACAATGCAACCATCATTTTCAATTTTTACATTACTTGCCAAATTGGTAAGATTCCGTGTTGCCCAAAAACTGGCAATTTTTTGATCCCGTGATGAAGACAGACCATCTCTATTCATTGGTTTTCTATTATTATAGTCCACAACTACAGATTCTGGAGCTTCTGATTTAATGCTTATATTTAAGGCATCTTTAATGAAATTTCGGCAAGTTTGAACAACTTCACTCATTTGAAGATAGCTGGCCACTGTCATCACTTCAATGGCATTTTGGCTTGTGAGCACCAGGTTACCAGAATACAAGAAGTCCAAGATGACTGAAAAACCTTGAACTGCAGCAATATCTAAATGGGTAGTATTGTTTTGGTTAGGGCTTTCTTTGTTTGAAAAGCAATATAAAGTCTTAAAGAAACGGCTGCCTGCAACCAGGATGTTCTTATGAGCTTTAAAGATTTTTCCGCTCACCACAATGCTGACATCACAAAGAATACCTTTCTTTCTCTGTTCATTTAGTTGTCGAAGAAGTTGATAGCAATAAGAGTTCTCATTTGGCCTACTATTAAAGTCACAGTATCCCTCCTCTGATGGTATTTCTGACTCCTGTAATTGGATGGAAAACATGAATATTAAATTTTGCTTACTTTTTGAAAGTCTCTAAACCAAAGAATTATTGTTATCAATATACGTTTCTAAAAAAAGTATCGAATATACTAATTTGTAAGAATTCCTTATGTATTGTGAGTTTCAAGTATTCTTTATTCCAGATTTTGAAAGAAATTGAATACGTTTGGTCCAACCCATTGCTGTTGTAAGAAAAATCAAACAGGATTTCATTTAAAGGTTGACTGGTCATGTTACTCTTTTCAAATACAAGCCAATAAGGACATGAACTAACGATTATTTAAAAATCAAAACAAAAACAATGATTTTCTTAGAAAAGGAATTTTTCATTTATAAGAATCAATTTCTTAAAAAAAAAAATCTTTTGGGAAAGCAGCACTTTTCTAAACTGAAAAATACCCATGTTACAATATGCTGGATACCCAATCTAATACTATTAAATAGGTAAATTTTAAGTCTTGGCAAACATTGAAATCAAATAGTTAGGCCATGGGTTAATTAAATGTAACAAATGATAAATTAAGACCCTAAGGAAAAATTCTGCTTCAACTATAGGAATATCCAATTATATAAACATTAAAATTCCTGATTTCAAAATTCCTAATGTTTATAAATCTTCCCTCTTATAAATCATACAAGTATTCATAATGGTTCACTTTAGCATCTGTAGTCAAGATAATTTCCTATAAAACCATTAAGACTGGCACAGGAGTAGCCCCACAGCACAGCAGTTAAGTGCTGTACAAAGACAGCAAGATCTCAGATAGCTGTCTGACCGATCCCAGCAACTTGAAAACTACTCCAGGCATGTATGCATGCATACTTCAAATCCCGCAGAAATGGAGGAATGGAGGAAAAAGGATTATTGCATGACCATGCCTCATTGGAAAGTATTCTTCCCCTTACTTTCTCTCTCTCTAGTGTACTCTGGCAATTAATTTAAAATGGAAAGAGATGTGTTGTACAGCAGTTAAAGAGTTTTAAAAGGGCATGACTACATTTCAGAATGCTACTGTGTGTCCTTGGGCAAGTCACTGTCCCTGAGCCTTTTTCCTAAACCATGAATTAGCATTATAAATGTCAGTATATTGTAAGTAATGACTTTATCTGTATAGTGACTAGATGGGTAAAGAACCCTCAGGACAGAGCTGTGCTATTCCCAGGACCTAAGGCATGGCAGTTTAATAATAACTCTGGATAATAATTGAAATAATCAATACCTCTGCCCACAGGAGAAAAACTATTTAGACATTACTAGCAGAAAGGATGAATGAAAATGCTAACTTCATCTAAATGTTAATTTATTCATATTTTCTTTGGTACAAAATATTAACTTAAATATGAGCATGGAGAAAGGCATGGGAAGGTATATACTAGAGTGTAAACATGCTAAGAGAACTAAGCTGAGTGAAAGACAGGAAAAGGTGTAGGGAAGACACCAATGTAAAAAAATTGT